CATTGGCATATATTCGTTCCACAAGAGGAAGGAGATGAAGTTCCTGCTGCATGTTAGCAATCCTAGTGGACATTGGGCATCCTAGAATGCAGCGCATTACCTTATTCTGAAATTTTTCTAGTGGTTCTAGTGCTGTCTTGGAGAGTTGACTAAGAGTTGGAGATAGGTAATCAACTACTGAACGGATAAAAGCTGTATAGATATTTCTGGCCACAGGAATGGAGACCCCAGCAGCACTGTTGGTTAGCCACCGAAGGGGTTCAAGGCGACGTTGCAGCCGTGTCAGTAATTCCTGAACAATGGGATGGACACGTTGACGTGCTGGCGTGGTGGGAAGGACTCGAACTGGAGCACCCAAGTAGAGATACTGTGTACAGAATGGTATAATACTGGGGCCTACTAGAAATTCAGGTAGTGTTCGTGGGTTTTGTAGAGAGAAGATCCTACTTTTTTCAGGAGAGATGATGAGGCCACATGAAGAGGTAGATTCGTAAAATGAATGAAGTAAGCACTGTAGATCTTCTGGAGAGTTGGAGTGAATGCAGATGTCGTCAGCATAGCATGTAATTGTTGTTCCTGGGATATCAGGGAGCTGGGATATGAGGCGGTGCATAAGGATATTGAAAAGAAATGGGCTGAGGACACCTCCCTGTGGAGTCCCAAGGCCAAAGCACTTAGGTGTGCTGCAGGCACCTTTAAAGAGGACATAGGATGATCTGTTGCTTAAGTATCCTCATATCCATCGCAAGAGATTTCCACTAACACCAAAGTCCATAAGCTGGTCGAGGATCACATCAGGATTTGCAATGTCAAAGGCACTTTTCAGGTCAATGAATGCGACAAGACTTGTAGAGGAGAGGCGAGTGTATAGCTCCAATAGACAGTGGTGCGTGCTGCGTTATGGCAGGAATCCATATAACCTGGATGATAGTTTGTCTTGAAGGCGATACATAAGGCGATTCAGGAGGATACGCTCCAGCACTTTACAGAAGCATGATGTAAGGGATATTGGTCTAAACTTGTCAGTGCCAGGCTTAGGAACAGGTACAATGAGGCTTTTCGTCCAACCTTGCGGAACATATCCATGTCGAAGGCAAAGGTTGTAAAGCTCCTCCTCCTGAAGTGACCTTCAGGAGGAGGCGCAAGGAGGGGGGGGAAGGAGGAAGGGAAAGGGTGAGGAGGGGGGAAGGGGGAGGGAAGGGAGGAGGAAGAAGGAAGAGGGAGGGTGGAAGAGGAGGAAGGAAGAGGGAGAGGAGGAGGATGAAGGAATAGGGAGGGAGGGGGAGGGAAGAGAAAGGAAGTGGGCGGGAGGAGGAAGAAAGAGGGAGGGAGGGCAGGTGTGAGGAGTGTGTAGGGGGGGGGGTAGGGAGAGGTATAAGAAAGTATCTTGAGGGAGGGGGGGAGGAGAGTTGGGGCAGAGTGATGGGGTGAGGAGGGGAGGTGAGAGGAAGGGAGGTATAGGGTAATAAAGAGGAGGGGGGAGGGGAACATACCGAGGAGCAATGGAGGGGGAGGAGGAGGAGGAGGAGGAGGAGGACGTACCGAGGGAGGGGGGGGGTAAAGTAAACTGGGGGAGGGTTGGAAATGATATACTAAGGAACTGGGGAGGAAAAAGGGGTAAGGAAGGGGAGACTGTCGTGGGAGGATTGGGGAGTAGGGGGGGAGGAGGGGGGGTGGGGGTAGAGGGTTAGAGAGGTATGAGGAAAGGGGAGGAGAGGGTGCGGGGGGGGGGGGGCGTGTGTAGATGGGGGTGAAGCGAGGGGTTATATTAACGAGATGCTGGAGGTAGGGGGGGGGTAAGGGGGAGGACAGTGTGATGTGAATTGGGGGGGGGGGGGAGTTGAATCTCGCATCCCCCCCCAAATCCATCAATAAATTTTACTCGAGAAGACAGTTCTAAGGAATGAAAAGATTTGGTAAAGACTTTTAGAAATCACACGTTTATAATTTTTTTCATGGATTCCTTTCTTGTAAGTAAATAATAAAAATAGTTTAATAGGATATTCCAATGTATTTTGTCTTTAGCTTTATGTATACACGGATTCGCCTATACAAACACAAATGCACACACGTACATTTACATGCACGCATACGAGGACGTGGATACATACTTTGTCTGTCTGTCTGTCTGCCTGTTTATCAATCGTTTCACTCCTTCTCTCTCACATTCTCTCTCTCTCTCTCTCTCTCTCTCTCTCTCTCTCTCTCTCTCTCTCTCTCTCTCTCTCCCTCTCTCCCTCTCTCTCCTCTTTACTTGCGTTTCAAAAACACAAAAAATATACATGAAATAATCTATGCAGCAAAAAAATAAATAAAAAATAAGATATTAGAAGTATGTTGAATAATTAAGCTATCGTAGTGTTATAGCAGAGTTCTAATAACATAAACAAAGAAATGAAGATTTCTTGAGACTAATAAGTCTTATTCGTATTAATTTCCTGTTACATTTATCTGTGGCCAAGATTGTGGAGTTGGAAATGGCGATGTACCGTACTCTCATTATATTACTTGTGCAAAATGGTTTAGATTTAAACTGATAGATGTAGATAGATAGATAGATAGATAGAGAGAAAGAGAAAGAGAGAGAGAGAGAGAGAGAGAGAGAGAGAGAGAGAGAGAGAGTTTCAGCATCACATCCATTGTCTGAATTAATATCGTTAGTGTCTAAGGAGACCTTGTTATCATAATTTAGATAATCTTATAATACGAGAGGATAGTATCATATTGTTATTGACGTCAGAGATAAGGAGCAAGTAGGGGTAGAATGTGTGGACTTTTTTATCAAAGGAAAAACGTTGTTAATGCGTATATGTATATGCATATATATATATATATATATATATATATATTATATATATATTGTGTATATATATACATATATATATATATATACATATATGTATGTACATACATATGGATGTATATACATGTATGTGTATATATATGTATATATATGTATATGTATATGTATATATATATATATATATATATATATATATATATATATATATATATGTATGCATGTATGTATATATACCCTCGTGGTCCCGAGTTCAATTCCCCGTCGCGGCAGTCGTAAAAATGCCTGCACTTCGTTTGCTGGCTCAAGCCCGAGAAAACGACATATCGCCTTGAGAAGAACGCAGGTGTCGTAGGGGAAGTTACCGCCGTGGCACAAGCATTAGTGTATATATATATATATATATATATATATATATATATATATATATATATATATATATATATATATATATAAGAATATACACATACACATGTGTGTGTGTTTGTGTGTGTGTGTGCTTGTGTGCGTGTGTGTTTAGAATATGTTAGAAAAGTTACCGTTTTCTTGGAAATATTCATAACAAATGCTAAAAACATACTGTCATGCTGCTTGTCTGACGAAAGTGACTTCTATCGAGAGATGTTCAGTTAGAGCTCTCCACCTTTAAAATTCACCTGTCACGAACATGATGATGGTAATGAATTTAGATAAAAAAAATTATAGATAAGGCCCCATTGGTTAAAAGGCTTGCTGTTTTTATACGGTGCGGAAAAAAACGAACTTCATATATTTTGAGTAGAATCTGCAATTAAGTACAGGGGTGTTTTAACATTTTCCAAAACATTAACCATTATCAATATTATCAATATAACTGCTCACTTCCTACTATTATTTATGAAAAAAACAACAATTAAATAACAACTTTCAACATAACTGCTACACAACTTTTCCGTAAGTAATTTCCTTTTACTCTCACACTGGTAAATAAAATTACTAACTATTACGTGTAAATAATGCTAACAGTAATGGATGTTCCTACACACTGGTTAGATGGAAGATCATTTTTCACATATAACCCATCCATCACGAGCACATATTGGAAAGAGGGAAGGGTGCATCTATAGGTTAAGATTTTTACCTTCAAGCCACAAAACTGTTTCTTGGGAAAAAAAGAAGAAAATAGATTATATTCATACATAGATATATTCCCATGTCATACACAGCTGATAGAAATATAGTGTTATATGGCTTCTTTTAATGTAAGATGCAGACATGTATATATGTATGTCTGTATTGGCATGTATAATATATGTATATAAAGAGATGGATAGATAAATAAATAGATAGGTAGATAGATAGTTAGAGAGACAGATAGATAAACAGATGGATAGATAGACTGATAGATAGATAGATAGGTAGGTAGAAGAACAGATCTATATATAGATAGATATTGATTTTAAAAATACATAAGGCACAAAACACCATAAAAAGCATACAGAATGACTAGTCATTCTGAAAGAAAATCTAATTTCAAAATTCCATGTTAACTGAACACTAAAAAAACACAAAATATTAATGAGTATATATAACACTTTTAAACTATAATAGACCTTCATTACTCACATTCGTTAGGCAGTTTTGTCAGTCACTTTTGTTAGTTAATTTTGTTAGTCACTTTCGTTAGTCACTTTTGTTAGTCATTTTTGTTAGTCAGTTTTGTTAGTCAATTTTCTTAGTCACTTTTGTCTTTCAGTCTCTCGTCAATCAATAGAAATGGCTAATTAACTAGAATAACAAACAGTCAGATGAAGGGATATAATCATGAACATGCAGCGGCTGAATATTGAGATTTGATGAACTGCTTCCAGATTAACTCGGTGAACAAGAACAAAGGATGAACACGCACTAGTTAACATCCTTGTTAGATCACTTGTTAGGCCCGTAATACACGCAGAAGGTCAAATTTGAACTGGCGACCCGCAATAAAACACCGAACGAATAAACATTTTGATCTAAAAAAAAGAAAGAAAAAAAAAAAGAAAAGAAAGAATATACATACATACATGCATATATATATATATATGTATATATATATATATATATATATATATATATATATATATATATAGAGAGAGAGAGAGAGAGAGAGAGAGAGAGAGAGAGAGAGAGAGAGAGAGAAAGAGAGAAAGAGAGAGAATCTAGGAAGGAAATGCGTTTTGTTTCACAATATATATCATCTTTATCGTGTTTCATCACTATGTCCATTGCAATGTACTAAGATCCTAAAGATTGAAAGAATCAGATTTATCAAGATGAAGACACACGCAAAATAGATCCTTAACTTTTTTCCTTAACATTTTCTTCATCAGTCTTAATCTAGACGTTCATTTCGCGAACACAGCACGAGGCGGGACTTCGTCTGCCTCGCAAAACACCTGGTGGCCGAATGGGAAACTAAGCGATATTCTCTGACCTTTGACCCTTGAAAAAAAATCCATCTTTAGGGCTCTCAGTGACCTCGTTTCGATGGAGTCCAGTGACCTCACATAGATTTTATTTTCGAAAGGATTTTGATAACCTTTTTCGACCTCATAGAAGGACCCCTTGAGACACATCCGGACCCCACTCAGAACAGCTCTGAAGGACCCCCAGGCGATCCTACCTGACCAAATATTGACCCGCTTAGAAAGAACCCTACGTGATACTTCAGCCTCTTTCAGAAGGACCACCGGCGACCCCGTTTAACCTATTTTTGACTCGCTTAGAAGGAACGTCAGGCGACATATCCTAACTCCAACCAGCCCAGCCCAGAATTACAACCCAATCGACCCCACTTTAACACAATCAATCCCACTTGAACCCAGTCAACACCTTCAGACACAATCGAACCCGTTTGAACCCAGTCGACACCTTCAGACACAATCGAACTCAGTCGAACCCAATCGACCCACAATAACACAATCGACCCCACTTTAACACAATCGATCCCATTTGAACTCAATCGCCACCTTCAGACTCAATCGAACCCAGTCGACCCCACTTGAACACAATTAACCCCACTCGAACCCAGTCGACCTCCTCGAACACAATCGACTCCATTTGAACCCAGTCGACCTCCTCGAACACAATCGACTCCATTGGAACTCAGTCGATCCCGGCGTTGCTCTCTGATTTCTGATTTGTTTTCATTATCGAAGGATCAACCTATTATGGAAACAGGCTGGGCAGGGGGGGGGGGAGATGGAACGAATAAGGGAGAAAGGAGAGGAAAAGAGAAAATTGAGAAAAGGGCAGAAGAGAGAGTACAGGTTGATGGCGGAGAGAAGAGGGAAGAAGAAATAGCAAAAAAAAAAAGAGAAAATTAAGAAAAGGGGAGAAGAGAGAGAACCTATTATGGGAACAGGCTGGGCAGGGGGGGGGGGTGGAACGAATAAGGGAGAAAGGAGAGGAAAAGAGAAAATTGAGAAAAGGGGAGAAGAGAGAATACGGGTTGATGACTGAATGAAGAGGGAAGAAGAAATGGGAAAAGAGAAAATTGAGAAGGGGTAAGATAATAGAGGAGAAGAGAGAGGATGGGGTGAGGAAAGAACGAAGAGGGAAGAAAAGAGAATAATAAAAGAAATGAGAAATGGAGAGGGAAGAGGGGAGGAAATTGAGGAAAAGACAAAAGTGAGAAGAAGGACGGAAGAGGGGAGAAGAGAGAGAAAAAAAGAAACTTGAGAAGAGGGAGGGAAGAGAACATAAAAGAGAGGAAAAGAAAAAAATAAGAAGAGAGAAGACAGGAAAAGAGAAAAGGAAACGAAAGAGGAAAAAGAGAAAGGAGAGGCAAAGCAAAACACAAAGGAGAAACAATAAATAAGACAAGATAGAAGTTTTAAAACCCATCTAAATGTTGGCTTGACTGCCTGAAAATATCAACATGGTAACAAGACACACAGATTGGCAGAGAGAAGAGAGCGTGCATCAGTGATCAGTTATAATTCTGTATTGCAATTTGGAGTTAATTTTGTTTGCCTTGCCCCCTTCGTTTCATATGAATATATTGAAAGGGTTTTACATATAAACACTCTTATGTACATGTACGAACAATCTGTCAGGAATTCATGCACATACACACAAAGAGAAATGCACGCAATATACATACATACATACATGCATATATATATACATATATATATATATATATATATATATATATATATATATATATATATATATATATATATATATATATATATATATATATATATATATATATATATATATATATATATATATATATATATATATATACAAATATATATATATACATATGTATACACACACATATATATATATATATATATATATATATATATAAAATATATATATATATATATATATATATATGTGTGTGTGTGTGTGTGTGTGTGTGTGTGTGTGTGTGTGTGTGTGTGTGTGTGTGTGTGTGTGTGTGTGTGTGTGTGTGTGTGTGTGTGTGTGTGTGTGTGTGTGTGTACCATACACACACCCACACACAAACACACACACACACACACACACACATATATATATGTTTGTGTGTGTATGTGTGCGTGTGTATGTGTGTGTATGTGTGTGTGTGTGTGTGTGTGTTTATATATATATATATATATATATATATATATATATATATATATATATGTGTGTGTGTGTGTGTGTGTGTGTGTGTGTGTGTGTGTGTGTGTGTGTGTGTGTGT